AAGAAAAATATTGAGCTGTATACTTTCTACCAATCCTTCCAACTCCCATATCATTCTTCTTATAAAAAGCCAAACAGAGGAAGATAAAACGAATATAGGTTTCTAGAACTGAAAGTTTTCTAAAGCAAATTTAGTCCCTCACTTTCATGAAGCTTAGGCTACTAAAAAAGCCTAAGCTTGTGGTAATTATGACGGAAAGCCATCTAGAGCTGGTATTCTTAACCTATGGTCTTGGAGGTCTAGGAATGCTCTAATTGTGTGCAAAATGTTGTACATGGATATGTATATTTTTAAAGAAAAATGTTCCATATTTTCCATCAGATTTTCAAAAGCATCTATGACTATCCAAAACAGTCTGATACATCAGGCTGGTCTGGCAGTGCCATAATTCTGGGAATGACTGAATTTGACAATAGTAATTCAAACTGATTTAGGAGAAGACATTCTAGTTGAGTATGGATGGTTAATAGGATTGGACTAACAAAATGTTAATAGTTAAATGAGTTAAAGATCAATGAGGGAGATACCAAATTATAAAGACCTGCTTTGGGGGAAAAAGACTCTTTATTGTTTAAAATCAGCAGTTTTAATAAAGGATTACAATAAAATATAATTCTTAAAATGGGTGAGTGAAAAATATTATTAAGTTTCATTTATCTAACTCAGCTAGCCATGTCTCCATCTTAGCCTTGATACACCAAAGCACAAGGCCTTGACATATGTTACTATGACCCTTGTCACTCTTCATGTGGCTATTTCCTATTTATCCTTAAAAGTTCAGCTTAGGCCTCACTTCCTCCAAAAGACTTCCTCCCTCCATGCCAGGCTAAACTGACTACAAAGGCTCATCCCTGCTCTTTCATAACATCCAATGCACAGTGCTATTAGGTATTTATTTACCTTGTTATAATGAGATTTTCTCCACTAGACTATAAACTCCTTTAAGGCAGGCAGGAATTGTGGTCTTAATTCAGATCACCAAAATTTAATATAAAGCCTGGTACTGACAGGAGTAAATTATATCCTGTCTCCTTCAGTAAAAAACTTCAATGATGTTAAATCTGTTCACTAGAATACCAAAATTATCTAAAGTCCTTTTTCTTTAACAAGGCAGTCTTTATTTCCAGAAAACATCAGTATAACATTGTTGTTGTTGTTATGTGCCGTCGAGTCAGACCCGAGTCATAGCGACCCCTCCTTAGATTTCCGAGGCAGTATCACTACAGAAGTAGATTGCCCCATCTTCCTTCCGAGGAGTGACTGGTGGGTTTGAACTGCCAGCCTTCTGGTTAGCAGTCAAGTGCCTTAGCCACTATGCTACCAGAGCTCCCAGTATAACATTATTATGGGAATTTA